AGGAAAGCCGTTGGTATAAACCAATGGCTTCTGTTACCAATTATAGAAATTATAGACATTTAAGAATATTTGTAGAGATTCCATAGTTGATTTTGTTTAGGTTGGGTTTTAACTGTTTGATGTATAATGCTTCAAGTATTTTTAGTTTTTGTCTATTGTTTTCATGTCGAAGTATAGTTGTGTTTTCGACAAGTATTTTACGGAATTTGTGTGCGGGCAGGCATGTTGTTTTAAATGCCTAAAAATGTTAGAGTTTTCATTAAAATGTAGTGTCAAGCGTCGTGAAAGCGAGTTTGTGGTGTGACCAACATAAATATTATTTAATTCGTTGGAGATACACTCTCCCAAAGGGCACTTGAATTTATAAACTATGTTGGTTTTTTTGCAAATCGCTAACCGGGGAGAAGAATCATTGCGAGGTGTTAAGTTGGATATACTAGATTTAGTGTAGTATATGATTAATTTAATTTTTTGCTAGGATCTGTAGTTGATATATTAGAATTTACTAAATTTTTTTTACTATGTGTTCATCTTGTTTATAATTAGTATGCATTTGATTACGATATAGGAGATTAATATATTTGAGATCAGTAGAAGCAGTATTATGTACAATTTGCTTATTATTGAGATTTCTAAGAAAGCATCTTATTTGTTCATCAACTATATAGTTTGGAAAGCTATTATTAATAAGTGTCTGTTTTATATTCTTTAGTTCACTGTAAAAAATCTGTTTGGTGGATGAATTAGTTTCTGCACGATGTATTAGATTCTTTATAATTGCTATTTTGTAGTAATATGGGCATTCGCTCTTGTAGTTAAGTGTACATGAATTTATGCTTGTAGGTTTTTGTATGGCGAAATAGTAAATTTGTTATTATTTGTGTTTATCCATATGTCAAGGAAGGGATTTTATTATTAGTATTGAGTTCATATGTGAATTTAAGGACAGAATTATTTTGGAACCGTTTTTGAAGTTGAATTATTTCATCTGTATTTTTAACTAACATAAGAATATCATCAACGTATCTTAGGTAGATTGATGGTTTTTAAAATCTGTAAATAACTTATTTTCGAGGTTCGACATGTAGAAATTGCTAAATGTCGGGCCCAATACTGAACCCATGGAGACACCATCACGTTGTATATATATATTGTTATTATGATCGAAGAAAGGGACTTCAGTAGTACAAGTTAATAGTAGTTTTCTTAATATATTAGGATTAATTTTAAGTGGGGGTAAAGATGAGTTACTGTATATATTTCTTATGATTATGTCAATAGTTTCACTAACAGGGACATTGGTAAATAAGTTTTCAACATCAAGTGAAGCCATGATTTCATTGTCAGGTTTTTCACTTTTTAGGATTTGGATTACTTCTAATGTTGACTTAACACTATATTTACTAGGAAGATAGGGAGTAATAAGTTGGCTGATATATATATAAACATACATACATAGGCACATACACACACACACACATATTAAGATATAGGTGCACACACGCACTATATGTGTGTGTGTGTGTGTGTGTGTGTGTGCACCTATGTATGTATCTATTTATTTGTGATGACACTCACATACACATAGATACACATACATTTATATTTGATTGGTGTTTGTGTTTTTATATATATATATATATATATATATATGTTATGGTCCAGATTAGGACCAAGGAAGAACAACACGAACACAAGAGTAGAAATAACGAAGTTCACTCCAAACCAGATTGACAGTCATATTAACACCTTCCACATCTATTATTATTTTGTGTAATAGACACAAAATAATAATAGATGTGGAAGGCTCTGTAAATTTTCTTTTTCTGCTTGATTTCTGCGGTTCTGAAATTGCTCGAGGCCTTTGCATATTGAATGTGTCAAATATTGTATCCATTACTTCCACCTCTTCCTGAGGTAGACTGTTAGAATCCTCTAACAGCCTCTTTCTGATCTGATTTAAGCGCCTTTTATGCAAGAACTTCGGACCCTGAATTATGTAAATCACGTTCCCGATTTGTTTCTCCATTGTACCTGGTTCCCAATAGGATGTGTTGTTTTTGAACATTTTAAAAAGAAAAACTTTGGGCTAAATTTTCTTTTTGGTACAAATGACGTTGGTGATTGCTTTGTCTGTTTTGGCAGTAATTCGTCAGATACCATTTTTAGGAGAACATTACCTCTGCCGGCAATAATTCCAATGGCGTAATACTGTTCG